ACTGCTTCCATGAGTGTTGATTGTGAATCCAAGCAAAATGAAGTCTTTGACAACTTGAACCTTTTCTCCATTTGCCATGATGTCATTTATTGGTCCAACTGTGAGGATTTTTTTTCTTTACATTGAGATGCAACCCTTACTAAAGGTTCTAGTCTTTGATCTTCATCAGTAACTCTTTTAAGTCCTCTTTGCTTCCAGCAAGCAAGGCTGTATCATCTGTATATCACAGGTTGTTGATGAGTCTTCCTCCATCCTGATGATGCCATGTTCTTCTTCATAGAATCCATCTACTTAAATTATTTGCTCAGCATACAGGTTAAATAAGTATGGTAAGAGAATGCAAAATTTCCTGATTTAAAACCATTCAATATCTCCTTGTCTGTTCTAACAACTCCCTCTTGGTCTATGTATAGGTTCCTCATAAGCACAATTAAGTGTTCTGGAATACCCATTCTTCATAATCTTACCCATAGCTTGTCATGATTCACACAGTCAAAAATATTCACATAGTCAATAAAGTACAAGTAAACATCTTTCTGGTATTCTCTGCTTTCTGCCAAGAGCCATCTGGCATCAACAATGATATCATGTGTTCCATGTCCTCTTTGGAATCTGGCTTGAATTTCTGGTAGTTCCCTGTTTCTGTAACTGTAATTATCTTCAGCAATATTTTATTTGCATATGATATTAATGATATTATGCAGTTGTTTCCAATTCTATTGGGTCACCTTTCTTTCGAATGGGTACAGATATGGATCTCTTCCAATCAGTTGGCCAGGTAGCTGTCTTCCAAATTTCTTGGCTTATGTGAAGGAGCCTCTTTGGTGCTGCATCAGTCTGTTGAAAGATTTCCATTTCAGTTTGGGTTTCTTACGTCAGTACCATCTATTCTTGATCATATGCTAACTCTTGAAATGATTAAACATCAATCGTTTCTTTTTGGTACCCTCCATATTCTTTTGATGTTTTCTGCATCATTCAATATTTTCCCCATAGAATCCTTCAAATATTGCAAGTCAAGGCTTGCCTTTTTTCTTCAGTTCTTTCAACTTGAGAAATGTTGAGTGTGTTCTTCCCTTTTGGTTTTGTAACTCCAGGTCTTTGCACATTTCATTATAATACTTGACTTTGTTTTCTCAAGCTGCTCTTTGAAATTATCTTTTCAGCTGTTTTACGTCTTCATTTCTTCCATTTACTTTAGCATCTCACATGCTGGGGAGCAAATTTCAGAGCTTCTTCTGACATCCATTTTTGCCTTTTCTTTCTTTCCTGTCTTTTTACTGTCCTTTTGCTTTCTTTCTTTATGATGTTCTTGAGGTCATCTCACAACTCCTTTGGTCTGTCTAATGCATTAATGTCTAATGCATCAAATTTGTTCCTGAGGTGGTCTGTACATTCAGGTGCGTTATGTTTAAGGTCAAATTTTGGTTCTCGTGGACTTGTTTAAATTTTCTTCAGCTTCAGCCAGAATTTGCATATGAGCAATTGATGGTCTATTCCACAGTCTGCCTGTGGCCTTGTTTTGGTTGATGATACAGAGCTTTTTCACCGTCTCTTTCCACAGATATAATCAGTTTGATTCCTGTGTTTTCCATCTGGTGAGGTCCATGTGTGTAATCTAAAAAAAGGTATTTGCAATGATGAAGTCAATTGGTCTGGCAAATTCTATCATATAATCACCAGCATCACTTCTATCACCAAGGCCATATTTTCCCATTACTGATCCTGCCTCTTTGTTTCCAACCATTACATTCCAATCACCAGTAATTATCAATATATCTTGATTGCATGTTTCATCAATTTCAGACTGATAAAGTTGGAAGAATTCTTCAGTTTCATCATTACTGGCTTTTGTGGTTGGTGCGTAAATTTGAATAATAGTGGTGTTAACTGGTTTTCCTTGTAGGTATTTTGATAGTATCCTACCACAGATAGCATTGATGGGGTTACTTGCTGGAACACATAAAGAATGCTTACATATCAGTTTTTTTGGTTTTTGCTTTTTTAAAGTTACAGGTATAGGTTTTTTTTCCTTACGTTTTTATTGTGAATTATGTGATAGTTTACATGGGAGAACATTAGCTTTACATTCATCCTATCATATATCGTTTCATTGCCATGGTTACAATCCCCTCCATGCATCATCAACCAACCAAAAGGGTATATACTACAAGCCTAAAGGTAGACATTTTATAGCAAAAGGAGGGGAGTAGTTCACTTTGCAGTCCAGGAGCGGAGGTCCCTGGGACCATCAAGGGAGAAGAGCAGAGTGCGGGATCCTACCCAGAGAATCAGTGATGCCAGAGATAGAGGCAGAGATGATGATGTGGAGAGATGCAGTGGCATAGGTATTTTGATGATAGAAAAATGGGTAAAAACACAAATTTCTCAGAAAATGAAGCACAGTGGCCCTTAAACATATGAACCAACCAAACGAAACCCTTTACTGATGAGTCGATTCCAGCTCACAGTGACCTTACAGGACAAAGTAGAATTTCCCTGGAGGGTTTCCAAGGCTGGAATCTTCACAGAAGCCAAGTGGCACATCTTTCTCATATGGAGGCCTAGTGAGTTTGAACCGGTGACTTTTTGATTAGCAGCTGAGTGCTTAACAATTGTACCACCAGAGCTTCATCAAATATATGAAGAGATGATCAAATTCATCACTAAATGGGAAAATTAAAAAAAATATATTGCGGTAGCCATTTCATACCAGTATAGCAAAACTCAAATATATATATATATATGGAGTCTTGGTGTGGTGCTGTGGGTCAACGCGCCAGACTGCAAAACTGTTTGAACTGCAAGGTTGGTGGTTCAAACTCACCAGCTGCTCCTAAGAAACGCTATTCAGGGTCACTATGGGTCAGAACTGACTTGACGGCACTTAACAACAACAACAACTATATATATATACCATAAAAGCAAAAAAACCCCACCTCACCAAATGCCAAGTGGGAGCAAGGGTATGAAGCACAGGAATTGTGACACATTGTAGATAGCAACATAAATCAGTATATTTCTAGTATAGCCACATTAGAAAGCAGTTTGACACGCCCAATTAAATTGAATATGCCCACACCCTTCAACCTAGCAGTGCATTATTCAACATGTTCCAGTATATTCTTAAAACAAAAGAAATTTTAAAAAATTCCCAAAAAACTGGAGTGGAGATTTGGGGCAATGTGGCAGATAAAGGAAGTTGGCCTGTGTAGGGGTGCGTCTGTTATCATGATCCACACACATCGCTCAACTTCTCAAACATCACAGAAACGCACCATGCCATTTATGGAAAATGCTTCTCCTCCTGCTATTTTTACCATTGACAGTAAGCTTCAGGTTCTATCTGACCTCGTGTTCAGTTTGAAAATACTCCTATTTGCCATTCAAAACCAGAATATCCCCTGGATGATAGAGTCCGTCCCATGACTTTTATTCCGGTGAAGGCTCTATCCTCAGGAAGCAAGGCTATCTCCCTCTTCCTTTGGAAAGTGCCCCATCATAAGCAAAGCTCCAAGTCTTTCAGTTGCATTGGGGTGCAGCACCATTTCAGGTAAGGCCATATATATTGAAAACTAGAATAAGAAATTGGAGAGCTAGGTGAGTCTGTGTGGGCATAAGAACAAAAGTTAATATAAGAAATAATTTGTGTGAAATTACACTGGGGAAACATTGTTTAGGTAGATTAGTGTTACTATGTGTATTTCACAGATAATTCCATGCTATGAGTATTAATTCTTATTAAACATCTTAGAAATGATCACTCCTTATTTTATGGCACAATTAGAAATGGTGGTGGTGTTCTCAAGTCAGTTCCGACTCCTAGAGACCCTATATAGAATTTTCAAAGCTGTGAATCTTCCTGGGAACATAAATCTTTGTCTTCCTTCCACACAGCATCTGGTGGTCTTGCACTGATGACCTTGTGATTACCAGTCTAGTCAGAAATGTTGTTGTTGCAAAGTGCTGTCGAGTAGGTTCTGACTCTTAGCAAGCCTGTATAGGGTTTCCGAGGAGCGACTGGTAGGTTTGAACCCATTATACCATGACTCCCAGTCAGAAATGGTAGTTATATGCCATGCAGTCAGTTCTGACTCATAGCGACCCTATACAGGGTTTCCAAGGCTGTAAGACTTTACAGGACAGAAAGCCTCATCTTTCTCCTGCGGAACAGCTGTTAGTTTTGAACTACTGACCTTGAGGTTCGCAGCCCGATTTGTAACCACTACACTATGAGAGCTCCTTCCAGTCAGAAATATCACCCTCAAATTCTGTGAGATCCTGAGTAAGTTACTTAACTTTTTGTAGCTTGTTTTCCTCCTCTGTGAATTGGGGATCATATTACTTATCCTCACAGGCTTATTGTAGGCATTGAGTGAATGAATTTAAAAGTTCAGAGAACAATGTCACATAAAGTGATAAGAATTCTTATTACAGCTTTTCTCAGCTTGGTCATTAACTGACCAGTGTTCACAGTTTTGGGGTATTCACTGATTTTGCTGAGTGTGTTGGGTATTGTAATGAAAAGAATCAGGGGGTAGTGTTTGCTGTCATTTTACCAGACTTGGTTTTGTTGTGTCCTCCATGACTTAGTTATAGCCAACTGGATAAGCTATAGCCAAGTCTGAGCTATTGTAACAATGGGCACTACTTTATGATGATGTCTGTGAGCTTAATGTGAGAATGATTATTTTAATGAGCTCTCTTCATCTAAAGTTTGAGCTATGTTTAAAATTACTGGCCTTTTTATATAAAGTGAAAATAATTTCAATGATCTATAATAAATATAACTAACTACAGAATGAGATTTCATATTGTAGGATTGATTGTCTTTTCACCAGCCCAGGAAATCTTCATGCACATGGAAAGAGGAAGACTCTTTAGCTGTAACTGAACAACAAAGTCAGTGATAATCCTGGTGAAAATGTTGCCTCTGCAAAACCTTCAGGGTTACAAGAGCCATTTGCGCTTAAATGGTCTTCTCTGTTGCCTTTTCAGACATGCTGAGAACAACTTGGCTGTGTCTAGTGCTTGGGTTCCTGCGGGCCCAGTCCTTCCCTTGCCCCAAAGCCTGCAGGTGTGTCTACCGCGACGGCGTGCAATGCTCTGGAGGCGATGTGGCGCGCATCTCTGAGCTCCACCTGCCTACCAACTCCACGCACATCGTGCTCTTCAACATGAGCAGCAGCACCTTGCAGAATCACAGTTTCAGCGGTATGACGGTCCTGCAGCGCCTGATAATCTCAGATAACCCAATTTCTGCCATTGCCCCCGGCACCTTCAATGACCTGATAAAACTAAAAACCCTAAGGTTGTCGCGCAACAAAATCACTCATCTTCCAAGTGGGCTATTGGATAAGACCGTCCTCCTTGAACAGTTGTTTATGGATCAAAATCAACTCGCTTTCCTTCCCGCTACTCTTTTCATAAATCTAGCGAACCTGAAAGTGTTGGATTTATCGGGAAACAATTTGACCCACCTATCTAAGGGACTGTTTGAGACGCAGGTTAAGCTTGAGAAACTTCTGCTCCACTCGAACCACCTCACCTCACTGGATTCGGGGCTGTTAGATAGCTTGGGCACCCTGATTGAGTTGCAGCTCCACAGAAATCACATCAATTTCATCGCACCGGGTGCCTTCGATCGGCTTCGAAAATTGAACTCTCTGACTCTTTCCAGAAACCACCTCGTGTTTCTGCCCTCTGCGCTCTTTCTTCACACGCACGATTTGACTCTCCTAACCCTGTCTGAGAACCCGCTGGAAGAGCTTCCGGAGGTGCTCTTTGGGAAGATGGCGGGCCTGCAAGAGTTGTGGCTGAACAGAACCCAACTCCGCACTCTGCCCGACGCTGCTTTCAGCAACCTAAGCGGCCTGCAGACTCTCGGAGTGATCCGGAGCCCGCGCCTGAGCGCGCTCCCGGACGGTGCCTTTCGGGGCCTCGGTGAGCTCCGGGCGCTCGCCCTGCACTCCAACGACCTGGCCGCGCTCCCCTCGGGCCTGCTGCGCGGCCTCCGGAGTCTGCGGGAAGTCTCGCTGCACAACAACCGGCTGCGGGCTCTGCCCGTCGCGCTCTTCCGCAACCTGAGAAGCCTGGAGAAGGTCCAACTGGAACACAACCACCTGGAGACCCTGCCTGGCGACGTGTTTGAGGCTCAGCTCCAACTGACAGAGGTTTTGCTGGGACACAATCCCTGGCGTTGCGACTGTGACCTAGAGCCTTTTCTGGGGTGGCTGCGGCAGCACTCAGGTCTTGTGGGCGGAGTCGAGCCCCCGCAGTGTCACTTCCCCAAGAAGCTCCTAGGCCTGGTGCTCTGGGTCCTACCGGATGATGGCCTGGGGTGCCCAGGCACCGAGGGGCCTCCTTCCCTGCCTCCTGTGGAGGAAAACTCCTCCTCGGAAGTACCCACCCCCACAGCTGTGCCCAGCAGTTCCTTGCCCTCCACCCACTCTTTCTTGTTGTCTAGCAGTTCAGAACCCTGGGTATGGGCCCAATTGGTGGTAGCCAAGGACGAACGTGAAGACCATACCCAGTTTTGGGGTCTTTATTTTCTGCTTTTGGCCATTCAGGTCATAATAACTGTGACCATTATATGTGCTATGATTAAGATCAGTCGACTCCTTCTAAAATTAATAAAAGAGGGGTCTCTTTTTAGAGTTAATGGGGAAACCTGACAATTATTTAAAGCATGACGCTTGGGAAGAATCCACAGGCTGCTACTATAGCTGCTGTTTTTCTGTTGCTCTGTTTTTCCAGGTCTTCCCATGCCCTCCCTCCCTCTTCTCAGGCCCCTGCTTCTCTTACTCCCTCTCATGCTTTCTCTCTCCCCCTAAAATTTTCATCCGTCTCCCGCTTTATGCACCCCGCTCAAAACTAACCTTTATATTTATAAACTGATTGCTTGCTTTGCTGCCTCCCTCTCTACGGAGCTCCTAAAGGCATGGACTGGTCTGGCTCACCCTTGTATCCACTGTGTCTGGTGCGGAGTGGGGTGTCTGCAGTGTTTATGGTAAAAAGGAACTAACAGGGCAGGGGTATTGCATGGACATCTTGTGACACGAATTAATAAATTAAAAAAATGAATACATGTGATCCACGTAAGGATGATTTTTCCTGGGAGAAAGGATGGATTATTCTCTTTATCTACTTTTATTTGAAAGGTAGCCAACATGTTCTTACAGTTGTTTTCCCTTGTTCCGTTTTTCTCACTTGGTGTATCTCTGACCTGTGGGCTATTTGGGGGAACTCGGGATTCCATTCATTCAGGGTAGACCTTCTCTGCGATAGCCTAAGAGATAGCACACAGAGCCTTCTTTCCAGGAAACCAGGACCAAATGCCATCACTGCCAGCTGTCAGGGCTGGGTGCCAGTGGAGCCACTGGGAGGGTCATGGTGGAACAGAAGACAATGAACCGAACATGCTGAATGGTATGCCTGTGCACACTCAGTCTCAGAACCCTTGGAGCCTTCTCTGAGTTTGTACTTGCTTTCTACATGAGTGTATGTATGAGTGGATGTATGATTTTGACACTGCGTGGATTTTCATTTCCTGAAACTAAACCATTGTGAAACATCATTTCACAAGCATTTATGGAGCACCTACCAGTGAATGTAATGATATGCTTCTGGCTCATTATACTGTATCACATTCTCATTTATGTTTCTGACTGAAAGCAGTAAAGTCCTTGCTGCTTTAACTGAATGTGTGAACTTGTAAGAGGTGATGGCTAACACACTTGCTGGAGAATTGACAGCCTGGGTTCAAATCCCAGCTCTACCCCTTACTAATTGTATAGAACTTTGGGCAAAATATCTAAATTCCGTAAGCCTTGGCTTCGTTATCCATAAAAAAGGATAAAGTAGTCCCTATCTCAGAGAGGCTGTGAACTCAGTGAGTTGTGAGAATTAAAGGCAATAAAGCATTTAATGACTTGGCCTTGTGTGCTGCATACAATGAAGGCTCAATATATGTGATGCTGTGACCACAAAGTTGGTTTGAACCACAAAGTTGGCGGTACAAACTCACTAGCCCTTCCTTAGAAATCCTATACAGGGTCACTATGAGTCGGAACCAACTTGATGCCACTTAACAGCAACAACAATTACTATTAAAGGATACAGCCATTATTACCGCTGTCATGATTTCTAAGGAAGAGCGTTGAGTTGGAGTTGTCACTGTCTAGAAAGGTGAGAGCATACTTTCTCAACTGGAGGCTACATTTGCATCACTTTGTCTTCACCTGTGGGTGATCTCAGCCCTGTGTGTCTGGGCTGTGTTCAGTGACTGCTCAGAACACCACCAATTGGAGGTGGAGCTGCAAGAACTGGATTGCTGGCATTTGTAAGCACACATCTTCAAGGCCAAGCTCAAATGTGTTCTCCTTGGTAAAGTCTTCCTGGATGTCCATGCAGTTCACTCCCCTAGCAGGTATTAGACACCAACTCAATTCCACTCCCATGTGGCCCATCAGCCTTTACTTTAGGGCGTATCTGTTTAATGTGCTTCGTGCACTGTAGTCACTTTCACCTGACCTTGTTTTGGAACCATCTACAGCATAAAATTCAGAGGTTGTTTTTTGATGGAGTAGTGACTCTAACCCTAAATACTTGACTCTCAGGTATGCTACTTGCCTTCTCCAAACCCTCAGTGTCCTTACCTGTAGAGTGAAGATAAAGTCCTTACCATAACGGCAAGGACAAAATGAAGTAATCCCTGTTTAAAAGTTTACTCAGTGCCTAGTGCATATGGAGCTTGTAGGAGTTACCTGTTATTACCTGCTCTTTCAAAATGCACCATGTTCTAATGGGTCTCAATGGCTTAGTATATGTTTGCTCATTCATTCAAGAAGCATTTATTGTGAGCACTTGCTTTTACCAGGGCACTGTAGGAAAAGCATTTGACTGCAAGGTTGGTTTGAAGCTCCTTGGAAACCCTATACAGGGTCTCTATGAGTTGGGACCGA